GTATGGGGGGGGGGGGGGGGGGGGGAAAGAAGGGGAACAGGGGCTAAAAAAACGAAAAGGGGACAATGAACAAAAATTTATTTTTGCCTGTTTTCTGTTTCCTCCCTCTTTCCCCTTTTTTCCCCCCCCCCCCCCCCCCCACCAATCGTTTCCCTTTATAGGAGACTACTGCTCTAATGAATTCATATGGATTGAATGCTTAAGTCATCCTATCTATTCCATTTTTAAATCTTCATCTGTTAATCCTTTTTTTATTAAAATGACATTCATCTTTCCTTAGTTTATAGTCTTCCTTTTCCTTCCTCATCTACTTCTGTCTCATCTACAGCTCCTTCTTCTCATTCATATATTCCCTCTCTAACTCCCTTCAATCATCACATTACTTCTGTCTCTTCTATCATACTCCCTTCATCTCTCTCTCTATCTCTCTCTATCTCATATCCCCCTCTCTCTCTCTTTGAATTTTTCCAGTTTTTTACATTCCTTTTAAGGTCTTCTTTTAAGCTTTTTTTTATTTCCAAAAACATTTTTACAGCTTTTTCTCATTTGAAATATCATAAAGCGCCATGGCTCTTCTCCTTATTGAGTCATCAAATACCTTTCAATGAAGGTCATTCACTCTTCATCTCCTTTCTTATTTCTCTCTCTCTAACTCTTGCTCTCTTTATCTTTCTCTCTCTCTCTGTCGTCATTCTGCTCTCGTTCATGCCATTCAGAAGCTGAGAGTGAAAATAAAAGAAAAAAAAACTTTTTCCTCCATTCTTTCACACAAATCAACTGTTGCCATCAAACTTATGCTGTTTCTATAACTAGCAGATGGATTAACATCAGGAAACGAAAAAACTGAAAGAGCGTCTGAAGACAGAAGCTCGATGTATGATCGCAGATGAAGATTGTCTCCGTCCAATTCACGTAGACAACTACTGCAAAGAGTAAGAGAGAGAGAGAGCGAGCGAAAGAGAGAAAGAGTTTGTTGCAATAGCAGCAGCAGCAGCAGCCAGCTTCAAACTTCCAGCTTTTCCATCACCTTTTCTGTAGGAGGCAGATTGTACATCCATGTGTGCATGTGGTGAACTTATAGTTCATCTAATCCAACGTGTTATTTCTGTAAAGTTTTCAAAAATCAAAAGAGCATACAAAAGGAATGAGAAGCTGGAGGAAAAGCTGAGTTGGGATATGTCTGAAAGTGAAATGACGAGAGAAGAGCAACCATGATCAAGCTGATGAAGATGTAAGCGTGAAAGAAGAATAAGAAATTCCCTTTTTTGTTCCATTTACATCACACATCTTGACAGATCTTAACAGCTTAACTATACGCATGATCTTCTTCTAGAAAAGATTTTGGTAAATCTGTTCGTTGTTGGCTTATGATTTTTCAGTCATTTTTCATTATTCTTCCTTTTTTGGCAGGCATGTTCGTTCTTGTTTCGAAGATGGAAATATTCCCTCTCTCTCTCTCTGTCCCTCTATCTCTTTCTCACTCTCTCTTGACTAATAATATTTTACTATTTTGGATCTATTCATCGTGTGAAATAATATATGAAAAAGGTGTGAATTGTGAAGATGACTAAGAGATCTAGAACATAGAGAGAGAGATAGAGAGAGAATGTAAAATATAATGAATATAGAGAGAGAGAGAAACAAAGAGAGAGAAAGAGAATATAAAAAGAATATGAATAGACTTAAGCTGACATGTTTCTGTGAGGATAGAAGAAGCCCTTAAATTATATAAGATGGATAGAATGAGATGTGAAAAAGGTAAAAATTAGAATGAAGAAGCCTGATGCGATAGAACGAGTCGCATCAAACACTTGCAAGAGAGAGAGGGAGGGAGGGAAGGAGAAAGGGAGGCATGGAGAGTAACAGTGCAAGAGTGAATATGTGAAGAAGAAAAAAGAGAAAAAGAGAACACAATAAAGATGGAACTATGAATAAATGGAGAGCAAAGGATATGAGCTCAACCGCTCAGCGCGCATGTGAATTGAAAAATGAGAATGCGTATTTCACGTGAAATGTCACGTAATATGTAAATTCATGTGCGAAAATATCGTTTCTAAACAGTTCAAAATGATTTCTTATGCAAGTGAACGATAAAACATTTTGAAAATAGAAAGGGAAACAGTAGAAGAGAGAGAGGGAATGAATGAAGAGAGAGAGAGAAAGAGAGGAAGAGTCGGAGATCTGCAAGCAAATGGCCAGAAGGCAGGTAACAAAACAAACTGCTGCTGTGCTTTGTTTTCAGTCAAAGAGCAACAGCACAAAGCTGCTGTTCCATATTAAGAGGGGAGATGTTCTTTTCTTTTCATATTATTTTAAACATATTTTCCCTGGTTAGAGTGTTGCGAGTGTGACATAGAATGATAAAGAGAGAGATGGTGAGAGATAGAGAGAGAGAAAAGGACAGGAGGACCGGAGGAAAGGGGGGGGGTTGAAGATGGGAAGAAGCATTATAAAGACGTGTGACAAGATATATATAACCATATATGGTTAGATAGATAGATTTATCATTAGCAGCAGAATGATGATGTAATTTTGGAAAGAGATTAACATTATTTTGAATGTTTTTTCTCTTCAGCTTCTTCATCCAGCTTCTTCTTCTTCTTCTTCTTCTTCTTCTTCTTCTTCATCTTCTGCTTTTTCATCTTTTCATTCATCCTTTGCAATTCAATAGTCATTTTTCGTATTTGTCTTGCTCTTCTTACTAATATCTTAACTTATATCATATAGTTAACCCATCATATCATGTCAATGGAGAAATATTTAAATTTTCCTAAATTACGAAGAAGAATACGACGATTTCGTAAACGATTA